CGATAAGGCCGAAAGTTACCTTAAAGACTCCAATGAAGATTTTTCATGAATTCAATCACTCCAATCATAGTTTAACCACATCAATCAAATCACTAATATACTCAAACACTCTCCATCAAGCCCCAACACAATTTACATCATTTCCCCTTAAATATTCCAATATGGCCGAATTGTGCATCAAGGGAAATCAAAGGATTTTTCAACAAATCCACATTCATAAAACTCTTTCTAAATTCATAATTTATGATACAAACAAACACCAATCAATTGCATTATACATCAAAGACTTCCTTCACAAATCATCATTCTTTCTTCCTTGAAAATTTGACTAAGTATTGGAACCCAAAATCACTTAAATTTTTATTGCATTTCTACTAATTATTTATCTATACGAACAATAAATTCCAAAGGAACATAACCATAAAACCTCTCTAACCATGCTCAACAACATACACATCATATTATGTCCAAAATTTTGATCCATAGAAAATACTTTGTGAAATTGATAAATCTTACCACCAATGGGTTCTTAGGCTTCCTGAGATCAATATATAAGATTCTAAGAAATAAAAACCACCAACAATGGTTACACTAACTCCAAGAAACCGCCACCTTCAAGCTCACAGATCTCCTCACACAATCACTTTCTCAAGAAATTCTTTTAGGGTTTTTGATCACCAAGAGATTCCAGGTATTTTACATGTTGTAACTTTCTTGATTCGGTGTCAAAATAAAAAGTTGCAAATCAAACTTTGTCTCCAATGGTAGGTTCTGCCAAACATGAAGAAGAAAGGAAGAAGACAAGCTTTTAAGGCCAATTTCAAGACCAACAAGAACTAGCCACCTTTCTTGACTTTTTAGAAAAGTTTTAAAATATCTAAAATTCAATTTATTTAATTAATCTTCTTGAAATCTCAATTAATTTCAAGACTTAGATATTTTCATAAATTCAAGATACACAATTATAGTTTAATCATGTCATAATACAGTGCTAAAAAGATCCAGGCAATTTTTGCATACTTCCATTTTTGCCCCTATTCACAAACTCACTATATTTTTCCAAAAACATCAAAATTCATCAAATAATTATTTCTCTTGGTTCTAAACACTTATTTCAACATATATCTATTCCCAGAATATTTATATAATTTTTGAGTCTCTCTGTAAAATTATATTGCGGTATTTCATCCGCTAAAAATTATTATTCATCAATTTTCCAAAAAGATGCCTATCCACTTCCAAATTTCATTCTGAATTCAAATCCAACATTATTTTCTTCGAATAATGTCTAATTACATCATTTCATAATTTTAGGGTTCAGTAATTATCAAATTACCATTTTGCCCTTCGAGTTGATTTTCATCCGAAACTCTGGATTTTCACCAATTAAGCCCTCTAATTCACAATTAAATCATAATAATGCATTTTAATTATGTGAGGAGTTATATATAGAGCACCAAATTAATTTCATACCAGGGGTAACAATTCCAAATAGGCCAGGATATATTACCAACCTTGAAGAAACAAAGGAGCTCCAAAGGCAAGTTAATAAGCTTATGCAAAAAGGGCATGTGCATGAGAGCATGATCCATGTGTTGTTCCAGTATTGCTTGTGCCTAAGACAGATGGTTCTTGGAAGATGTGTGTTGACTGTCGTGCCATCAACAATATCAGTGTAAAGTATAAACATCCCATTTCTAGAATTGATGATATGCTAGATGAGTTGCATGGTGCATGTGTTTTCACTAAAATTGATCGTAGGAGTGGATATCATCAAATCAGAATGAAAGAAGATGATGAGTGGAAAACTGCATTCAAAACAAAATATGGGTTGCATGAATAGTTGGTTATGCCATTTGGTTTAACTAATGCACCCAACACCTTTATGAGATTGATGAATAATGTTTTGCGTGCATTCGTTGGAAAATTCGTGGTTGCACATTTTGATAACATTATGATTTATAGCACAAATTTGAATGAGCATGTTGAGCATTTAAAACTTGTTTTGAATGTTTTGAGGAAGGAGAAGTTGTTTGCTAATCTAAAAAAATGTTCTTTTTGTACTAACAAGCTTATGTTCCTTGGTTTTGCTGTTAGTTCTAAAGGGATAGAGGTGGATGAAGAAAAGGTAACGGTAATTTGAGATTGGCCTAGTCCTACTTGTGTGAGTGAAGTTCGAAGTTTTCATGGGCTAGCTAGTTTTTATAGACGATTTGTGAAGAAATTTAGTAGCCTAGCAGCACCATTGACTGAGGTTATTAAGAAAAATGTTGGTTTTAAGTGGGGTGATGAACAAGAAAAGACATTTAATCTGATTAAAGAAAAATTAACTAATGCTTTTTTGCTTGCTTTGCCTACCTTGACAAATACTTTTGAAATTGAGTGTGATGCTTCAGGAATAGGTATTGGAGCTGTTCTAATGCAAGAAGGACATCACATTGCCTTCTTTAGTTAAAAGCTAAGTGGAGCTGCTTTACATTACCCATATGACAAGGAGTTGTATACACTGGTCAGTGCTTTCGAAATATGGCAACACTATCTTTGGCAAAATGAGTTTGTGATTCACACAGATCATGAATCCTTAAAGCATTTGAGGGGCCAACACAAGCTGAACTAGAGACTGCCAAATGGATGGAATCCATTGAAATATTTCCGTATGTAATTAAGTACAAGAAGGGTAAGGAAAATGTTGTGGCTGATGCATTATCCCGAAGGTATGCTCTACTTTCCACTTTAACTGTAAGATCGCTTGGATTTGAGTGCATTAAGGACTTGTATACTGATGATCTTGACTTTGGTGATGTATTCAAAGCATGTGAGAAAACTACATTTGGAAAGTTTTTTAGACATGAGGGATATTTGTTTAGGGAGAAACAATTATGTATGCCTAAAAGTTCATTGCGTGAGTTTCTTCTTAAAGAAGCTCATGGGAGAGGTTTGATAGGGCATTTTGAAGTGTCTAAAACTTTAAATGTTCTACATGAACATTTCTTTTGGCCTCATATGAAACGTGATGTAGAGAGAGTCTGTGAGGGATGCATTACTTGTAAACAAGCTAAATCTAAAGTTAAGCCTCATAGGTTGTATACTCCTCTGCCAATACCTAATGAACCTTGGGTAGATATATCAATGGATTTTGTTTTAGGATTGCCTAGGTCAAAAGGGGGTAAGGATTCAGTGTTTGTGGTTGTTGATAGATTTTCAAAAATGGCACATTTCATTCCATGTCATAAATCCAATGATGCATCACATATCTCTGACTTGTTTTTCAAAGAAATTGTAAGATTGCTTGGTATTCCAAAAAGTATTGTTTCTGATCGAGATTCCAAGTTCTTAAGTTATTTTTGGAAAAATTTGTGGGGTAAATTAGGAACAAAACTTTTGTTTCTACTACTTGTCACCCACAAACAAATGGACAAACAGAGGTGATTAATAGGACCTTATCTGCATTGTTGCGTTCTTTGATTCAAAAGAATTTGAAATCATGGGAATAATGTTTGCCACATGCTGAATTGCATATAATAGGACAGTCCATTCGACATCTAAGTTTTCACCATTTGAAATTGTGTATGAGTTTAATCCATTATCTTCTTTGGATTTAACTCCTTTACCAGTAAGTGAACATGTTAACTTAGATGGAAAGAAAAAGGCTGAACTTGTTAAGCAGATTCATGAAAAAGCTCGGCAATACATCGAGAGGAAAACTGAACAATATGCCAACCAAGCCAATAAAGGGCGTAAGAAAGTAGTTTTTGAACCCGGAGATTGGATTTGGCTACATATGAGAAAGGAAAGATTTCCAGCCCAAAGACGTTCCAAACTGCTTCCAAGGGGCGATGGACCATTTCAAGTGATTGAGAGGATAAATAATAATGCCTACAAGGCTACAAGCTTGACCTTCCAGATTAGTACAATGTTAGTGCACCATTCAATGTTTCTGATTTATCTTCTTTTGATGTATGTGCAGATTTGAGGACAAATCCTTTTGAAGAGAGAGGGAATGATATGAATAAGGAGACAACACATAAGGATCCATTACAATTGCCAAATAGGCCAATCACAAGATCAAGGGCCAAGAAGTTTAACAAAGCTCTCAGTGGGTTGATCCAGCAAATGTGGGCTAATCATGAAGACATCAAGTCTCAATTTATTCATAATCAGAATTTAGTTAATGCCCTCAATGCAAGGGAGGTTGAGTAGAATAATTAGCAATTTTTAATGTCATTAATGCTAAGTGGGGTTGATAGAATTTTCAAATTTATTAATGCTTAGTGGGGTTGATTAACATTTTTAATGTCATTAATGTTTAGTGGGCTGATTAGAGTCTTTTTCGTTTTCCAAGTTATCAACTTTAAATTAGTGTCTTTTCATTTGTTAGTCTTTTTCTATTCTTGGAGGGATGTTCCAAGTATAAATAAGGGATGATACAACTCTTGAAAATCAGATTTGAAGTTATAATATAATAGAGGTTTCTTCTCTTTGGTTCTTATCTAGAACTCTGAACTTATCAAGAAGCTTATTCTTGTGACGTTCAAAACAGACTTATCATTCACCTTCTTCTTTCTTGAGTGTGGCGTCTTTATTCTTCTTATACCTTTGGTTCTTATCTTCCATATATAACAGGTCATGGTTCTTTATTTCTTGTTTTAAATTCCTAATCGTAGAAACGATCCTAACTAAATTGGCTTTGGGTCTCACTATTCTTGGTGAGGTTCACATCACATTGTAGATATATCTTATAGCAAAATATTCTCATGATGTAGGAGTGTACCTATCACTCCTTTACAAACATGAAAGCATGAGAATGTTGAATAAAACTCATTTTTGAGAGTTATTTGCATAGCAAAATGTATTTTAAAATCTATTACGGAACATGTGAATCCAACAAATTCATGTAAAGAGTCTCAGGAATAGAAATATCAAATATAAGCATGTGTGTCTCCGTGAACAAATGCCACATTACATACAAGAGACATTGATTAACAAAATGCTTGAGTTGATCATGGAAGAGCGTTAAGTCCTTTGGTGAACAAAATGGAGAAAGTATCCATTTTATTCTTAGGCAAAGCTAAGCCTATCTCAATTCCACCCTCAATATATCTGCTCTGTACAAGTGAAACAGCTCTCGTAGAATCAATTGAGATCTCCTCTATTTTCTTGGGTTTTCCCCACCCAAAATCCGATTCGTAAAGCTTCAATTTTGGAGACCAGGTAATATGCACATGGTGCTCTGACCCATGGAACACGTCCCAGTCCAGAATCCATGTTTCTGCTCCCGCAAAAATTGATGCATCAAGCCTTTTAACTGTGCTTCCAATTGCTTTGGCTGCAACCACAATCCCGTCTTCTCCAAGTAATTCGTTTCTTCTCACACATGCCCTACCGAAGCCAACACAATTACCCAAATATGTCATAGGCACTGGATAGTCCAACCTGGTTATACCACCAGCAATGAATCCAAAGTATGTGGGATCTTCAAGCCCCATTTTCTCATTCACACTCTGTTCGGTTTTGAGCAAACAAACCCATAGAAAAGCACAAGTTAATACATAAGTAGATAAATGCACAGGCTGAGAATGATTCTTTTCTTTACAGCAATCAATAATCAAACACTTGATTTTATCCATTTCTGTTGTACCCATTAAGAAAGTGGCTCGAACCATGCTTGAGAGATCTACTTTGGCTTCTCTACCTATGACAATGTTCTGCACTAGTCTTCTATTTCTCCATTCTTTCAAGAAAACCTCCTGAAGGCCTTTAGGATCAATTATTACACTTCGATCAAACAACGGTAGTGACTTTAGCGGTAATGGTGAACCTCCAAATCTACAATATGAAGCCCATGTCTTGAAGAAATTGTGGAAGGTTCTCCCATCAGCAACAACATTGTGAAAAGCAAGGCCAATGCATATGCCTACATTTGGGAATATCGTTATTTGAATAGCTAGCAAAGGAAACTCTTTCCCTTCATATGAAAAACTTGATGCCAATTTCGGTACAAGTGGGTGAAAGTCGATAACATCTCTTGGTTGATTGCTGCACAAGTGCTTAAAGTCGCCATTTGACTCAGTGATTGTTAATGAAACTGACTTGTTATCAGTGAAAATGAGTTGGGGTTTGGCAAGATTAGGTGAGGACACAAAGCTACCGGCAAAAGGATAGTAATGTTGAAGTGTAAGGGAGAGAGATTGCTTCAGTTTTGGAAGGGTCGTACTTTTAAAGTGAGAAATTGGATGAGGGAATTCATAGAAAAACAGAGGCTGGCTTGGGGAGAAGAAAAGCCAAGGAAGGTCAAAGAAGGTTAATGGGAGGATAGAGGTTGTTGGGGTTTTATTGGGTGGCGGAGTGACTCTGTATTGCTCAAGAACCTTCACTACAAAAGGTGTAGACATTGTAGTGTTGGGTAAGAGAAATAATAGAGATGAAGATAACTGTGTGTTATGGTGTGTTGCGTACATTTTTAGAATTTGATAACTTGCCGGTAATAATAGCGAAGAACATCATTTTTTTTACTACATCTTCTCAATACTTTGTTATTAGGGACAAAAATCAAATAATCAAGTTTGGAGAAAGAACTACGTCACACTTTAGAAACTTTTTTTTCTTTTTCTTTTTTGTCAAATTAAGTCCCGTTATTCTCACAAGTGGGATCACTTTTGTTGACATGTGACATGTTTTCAAACACTCGCTGCTTGTCGGCAAAGGAACCAACTGTAGAAGCGGTCTTATTAGTGGGGCTAGCGGAAATTAAACGTGGCCTTTTGATTTTTGTGCCTAGTTACTAAGTTTTTCATTCTATTTTAAATAAATTAAAAATATAAATTTATTGGATTATATTAATTTCTACCTTCATTTGAAACAGAAGGCATGATAAATTAAGGGGAAAAAAATATACAACACTCTTTTTATTTTTCAAAAACATGTGTACTAATTTATGTACTCGTTAACAATTTTGCATTAATCGATCTGTGAGGTACCGAAGTAAAATGCAAAACAGGTTCCCTGAGATTGTTCATGTGATGAGTGATTCTGCCTCTTTTGGCAGCTACTGCTGCTCTTCGCTTGTCCTTCCTCTTTTGCTGCAAAAAATGTGTGGCCATTAGTAGAGCGGTCCCCAAAAATTGTGTTGCATGATTTTATTTTATTTTTGTATTTATGCAGTGTTTTGTTCTTGGTGCCCGTTAGTATGTATTGTACATTGGGACACAATTTCCTTCAGATCTTTTTCCATCATTTATAGTATTGACCTTTTTTAGAAAAAAAAAAAATTTTAAAAGTATAATTTACTTCTTTTATTGTATTAAAAATAGGGTTTGGTATTTGTTCTTTTAAAAGACATAGAATTATATCATTTTAAGTGAGAGAAAGAGATACATAACGAAAATCATGGAGGGAGAAAGTGAAAATTTGTTTTTTAAAATTTAAATAAAAAATACTGGTTTTAATTAAAATGACCAGAAGGACAAATTTTTCCCCTTAAACATAATATGCAAAAAAAATATATTTTTATATGTAACATCTCGTATTTATCTGATCCGTATATTATTTAAGATAACTAACTGCATCATAAATTAACATTAAAAAAATTCTTTATGTTATCACTTACACTTGTGAGTCGTGTTTGATATGAATAAGGAGATAACACCGAATAATCTATTACAAATATCAAATGGGCCAATCACAAGGTCAAGGGCCAAGAAGTTTAAAGAAACTCTTAGTGGGTTGATCCAACAAATGTTGGCTAATCATGAAGATACCAAGTCCAAATTTATTTATAATCACAATTTAGTTAATGTCATCAATGCAAGGGAGGTTGAGTGGAATAATTACCAATTTTAAATGTCATTAATATTTAGTGGGCTGATTATCATTTTCAATGTCATTAATTTTTAGTAGGCTGATTAGGGTCTTTTTCTTTTTTTCAAGTTGTAAACTTTAAATTAGTGTCTTTTCATTTGTTAGTCTTTTCCTATTCTTGGAGGGATGTTCCAAGTATAAATAAGGGACGATACAACTCTTGTAATCAGACTTTGATGTTATAATATCAATAGAAAAGTTTCTTCTCTTTGGTTCTTATCTAGAACTCTGAACTTATCAAGAAGCTTGTTCTTGTGGTTTTCAAACCAGACTTATCACTCACCTTCTTCTTTCTTGAGTATGACATCTTTATCCTTCTTTATACCTTTGGTTCTTTTCTTTCATAGATAACAGGTTAATGTTCTTTATTTCTTGTTTAAATTCCTGATTATAGAAACGATCCTAACTAAATTGGTTTTGAGTCTCACTATTCTTGGTGAGGTTCATATCAAAGAGTTTTATCAAACATAATTTTATATAAACTCTTATTATAAAATGAAACTTTTTTTATAAAGAAGGAAAAGCTCTCGAAGAAGCTTCCTCTAAGATGTATGTCAGCTTTTGGAGTCCTCATTTATTATACAGTTTTACCCTTATTTTATCCTTTACCTTAATAATCCATCATAATAACAAATTATTTCATCTTCCCAACTTCAAAACAATCACAAAAACTTTATATAATCACAAAACAACTTTTACCTTTTATTTTTTATGCCCTTTTTTATTTTTGACTTTAGCTTAAAAGTAGCTTTTAGCCTAAAAAAAGATGTAGTCATTTTTTTATACATGAAGATAATTAAAAGAAAAAAAAATCGATGACCACCTCTATGACGAGGAATGGCTAAAGAATACACAAGCAAAGTCAAGAGAAGACCAGGAGGAGGATCAAAAAAAGCATAATCATTATCCATCTCCAAGTGATCAAGCAGAAGATTCGCCATCCAATCAGTGCAGCTGTTAGCCTTCCTCAGTGTGTGAATGAAATGAACTTGCCAGTTCCGATTGATCAACGTTCGAATCTGAGTCACCAAAGATGGCTCTAGAGCGATCTCACAGTTCTTAGTGAAAAACATGACAACAAAGCTAGAGTCGCTTTCAACAACTAAATTTCTAATACCCTTAAGCCAAGCTAGATAGAGTCCTTTCAGAACACCCCTTAATTATGCATTCCATGCTAAGCAAGCACTAATTTTGTAAGCAAACCCACCTCTTCAACTACCATTTGAGTCGCTCAAAACCCCACCACAAGCAATAACAGATGGATTTCCTCGAGAGGCACCATCTGTGTTAAGTTTTGTAAATTCTACCGGAGGATGCAGCTAAATAATGCTATGCTGAAATGGAAGAGGAACGTCCCTTTCAAAAGCAACATACACTTGCTGTGCATTGTCAATCATAGCAATATGTGAGTGTAGCAAAGGAGAAGATGGTTAACCGTGTGCAACATTATTATGCCAATTCCAAATCAACCACCGGCAAACAACAAAGATTGTGGTCCAAGGAACCATACCTGTAATTTTCACCTCATGCTTCCAGTTAGTTCCATTGTAACCACTCATGAAGATCAGCCCCAAAAAAGATCTACTTGTCTAAGGAGGAAAAAATGCAGTCCATATATTTTTTATTATAGAGCAGTCCTTAACAGTATACAGCAAGGTTTCTGTCTGTTCATTGCAAATAGGGCACCGAGGATCTTCGTGTAAGCAATATGCGCTCCATGCTTTAGTAGGTGATATGAACCTTACCAAGAATAGTGATTCTTACCCTATGCCCAACATAGATAAGCTAGAGGATAACTCAGCTGGATTCCAATTGCTATCCTTCATGGATGTTTATTCGGGTTATAACCAGATTCCGATGTATCCTGAAGATCAAGAGAAAACTACCTTTATTGCTGAAAAGGCCAAATACTGCTACAACGTGATGCCGTTTGGGCTCAAAAACTCTGGGGCTACATTCCAGAGGATGATGAACAAAGTGTTTGAGGATCAACTGGGCAAGAATGTAGAAGTATACATTGATGATATGATCGTTAAGTCATTTGACATGACGAACATGTCCAAGATCTGGAGCAGACATTCCAAAAGATTGGGAAATACTGCATTCGGCTGAACCCGATAAAATGTGCATTTGGAGTTCCAGCAGGGAAATTTTTGGGTTTCATGTTAACCCATAGGGGAATTGAAGCAAACCCCGACAAGTGCCAAGCAATGCTTGATATGAAAGCTCCTCAAAGCAAGAAGGAGGTTCAACAATTGACTGGTAGGCTGGCTGCGCTAACCCGGTTCTTACTTAACCAAGTCAGCTGAGAGTGCCCTCCCATTCTTCGAATTATTAAAGAAAGAAGCTATGCAAGGCTGGAACCCGGAATGTCAATCCGCGTTCGATAAGGTTAAAAAATGCTTGGCAACCCCACCAGTACTGTATAAGCCAGAATCAGGAGAGACTCTGATCTTGTACCTGGTTGTGGGGGAAGAGGCAATAAGTGTTTTCCCGATCAAGGAAATCAACAAAGGATAGGAGCCAATTTACTTCGTCAGTAGGGCCTTACAAGGTCCTGAGTTGAGGTACCAAAGGCTAAAAAAAATGGTTTTTGCCTTGCTGATTACGGCGAGGAGATTACGACCATATTTTCAGGGACACTAGATAGTAGCCCGAACAAATCAACCTATAAAACATGTATTACATAAACCGGAACTGGCAGGAAGAATGACTAACTGAGCAATTGAACTCTCTGATATGACATAACATATGAAAGCCGGAAGTCCATCAAATCACAAGCTTTGGCCGACTTCATAATGGAGCTCACCCTGGTCAACCTAGAAGTGGGAGAAGCTGAAGATACTTGGAGGGTATATGTAGATGGATCCTCTAATGATAAAAGAAGTGGAGCTGGGATCATATTAGAAAGTCCTGAAGGAGTGTGAATAGAACACTCCTTGAACCCGGGTTTCCCAACTTCAAACAATCAAGCATAATATGAAGCCCTAATAGCCGGGTTGATGCAGGCTAAGGAACATGTGGCCAAAAGGGTTAAATTCTTCAGTGACTCCCAATTGGTGGCTTCTCAGATAAAAGGAAAATATCAGGCCAAAGGCCCTTTGCTGATAAAATACCTAAACAAGGTCCGAGAAATGATGGCCGAGTTTGAAGAGGTAAAAGTCACTCATATTCCTCGAGGGGAAAACAGTCGAGCTGACATCTTGTCTAAATTGGCAAGTACAAAAAACCCAGGAAACCATAGGACCGTGGTACAGCAGAGCAGAATAGAGCCGAGTTGCGTAATGATAATCACCTCGACAAATGACTGAAAGCAATCCACAGTGGCATACCTTGAGAAAGGGACATTGCCTGAGGACCCATTGGAGTTTAGGAAGCTGATCCGAGATGCAACGCAATATGCAATATTGGAAGATCGGCTATATAGAAAGGGTTTACACATTCCTATGTTGAAATGCTTGAACTCGGAAGAAGCAGAATATGTGTTGGCCGAGATACACGAAGGAATCAATGGCCAACACATGGGGGGTAGAGCTTTGGCTAGAAAGGCACTCCGAGTTGGCTATTACTAGCCAACTATAGAAGTAGATTCCAAAGAACATGTCAAAAGATGCGACAATTGTCAGAAGCATACCAGATTGATTCTTTCACCACCAGAAGAATTGAAATACATCTCGGCTCTATGGCCCTTTTTCAAATGGGGGATGGATTTGCTAGGACCCTTCAAAGCTGCGGAAGGACAATTGAAGCGGCTAATTGTGGCCGTAGATTACTTCACCAAGTGGATAGAAGCAGAACTGGTTACCATAATAACCTTTGCCAGGGTACAAAAATTCTTTGAAAGGAATATCTTCTTCAGGTTTGGAATACCAGCCGAGGTAGTGACTGATAATGGCACACAGTTTGCTGATAAACGGTTCTAGGAGTTGATGAAAGACTTGAAGGTCAAACACCGCTTTGCACCTGCGGAACACCCACAGTCAAATGGGTAAATTGAAGCTGCAAACAAGGTAATTGTTGACGGTCTCAAGAAACGAATGATGGATGCCAAAGAAAGCTGGGTCCATCAATTATACTTTGTTTTGTGGGCATACCAAATGAGTACTATAACACCTCTCATTTCCAAATTATATATTAAAATATTAAACATGGGTTAAATGGAAGGATTAATGAAAATCCTGGAAATTAGGTCAAAATACAAAGGAAGGGTAAAACGGTAATTAGCCAACACGCAACCCTAGGAAGATAAAAATTGAGTAGAAGGTCTCAAATGATAAAAATAACCCTGGAAATGGATTCAGAACAAAAAATTGAGTGGTTAGGCAAGTTTAAGAAAATTCAGTGAATAGTATATTTACCGGGTAAAAATATTGCGGTACAGTTGCACCGTAAAACGTGTCGATTGAGTTTTGAGCTCTAGGTTTTGAATACAATTTATAAATGGTATATTTGACTAGGAAATATGATTTTTGATGAAAATTGACAGAAATTAGTGAGTTTGGGGAAGCGTGCCAACGGCGCGCGTAACAGTTTAAAACTGCGATTTCTCCGAACGACCGAAAAACTCCGGATCCATTTGATCAACAACAAACAATGGTTAATGTTAAAAATTAGAGTTTCTAAATAGTTTATGAAATTATGAACGTTTAGTGAAATAGGCGGGAGATTTGAATTAATTTGAATCGCGCGAGGTGGCGGTGGGACCCACCCCACTTAAGTGACCTTTAAACACATGGCATGGGTCACTATTCATCATCTTTTTCTCCTTTCTCTCTCATCAAAACCGAGCTCCCTCCCTCCTCCATGGAAATTTTCTTTCAAATCTTCTTCCTCCCTTAACTTCATCGATTCTTAACCGAATCGGACGATTCTTGTCTTGAAATTCGATGGAAATCACCACCCGAACCCGTTCCACCGATTAGTTTTCCTTGAAACCCTCTCATTTGAGAGATAATGGAAAAAACCAGCCACGAATTTTGTGAGATATTTTGTGATTTTGGAGTTGTTTGCTCAAGTCATTGCTTTGAAAGTTAAATGGCCTTGAAGGCCGAAGCATGTGAGAGGGAAAAACAAAAATTTTTCTCAAGCGGAATCATACATGCAATCAAGACTCATGCTTTAAGACAACATGATGTTACCTTTGTTTGTTTGTGATTCAAACACCAAGGAGATCAGTGTCAAGTTTGAAGGGTTCAAACCCTCTAACGTTGATCCACACCACCCACGTCAAGATGCAAGAACTCTTTCTTGAAGAACCACCAATTGATCACCACAAAGAGGTTTGCTATGCGCTCAATAGGTGAAGGAGGAGGTAAGGTGAATGTGTTTAGAAGAGTGATATTTTCAGCAAGAAAACATCACAAAAGGGGCACATAGAATGGAGTAGAATTGGCTAGGTGTTTTGTGAAAAACCCTAAGGAGAACCTACCCAAGTTCTCGCACAAGAGTGTGATGAGAGAGTCATGATGCAATCAGATTTTTCACTTAAAAACTGATTGAGGTGGCACACAAAGAGGGAGAAAAAGGTGGAGTCGTTGCAATTCAAAATTCCCAACAACCTACCTTTGAATCCTCATGAGACTAGGTCTTAACCTAGTCAAAATTATGATCTAATAGCCATTATATGGCTAGCCATATGTGTGCCCCCTTCAGCCCTAGAAACGATCCAGATACGTTGAGCAGTTGCATTCAAATTTGAACCAACTCACTCACTGATTCTCTCAACCAACCAAGTCTGATTTGGAGCTTATTTGGTTGACAAGATGACACTCACAACAACCAAAGTGACGCCCTAAATTCAGCCTTGGATGTGATCAAAGATCTCCTCTTGATACTAGGGATTTGTTCCAACAAGATCTTATCTTATCCTTTTGTTATGAAACAACTTTTCATAGCCAATTCAAATTCGAATTCAAACATTTAAATTCAAACGTTCAAACATTTAAATTCAAAATTCAAACGTTCAAACATTTAAATTCTAAATTCAAATTCTAAATTTAAATTCTGAATTCAAAATTCAAATTCAAAATTCAAAATTCAAAATTCAAAATTCAAAATCAAAAATTCAAAATCAAAAATTCAAATTCAAAATTCAAAATTTAAATTTTTGATAATTAAATTAATTAGTAATGTCTTGGACCATCTAAGCCCATTACATGATCCATGCGCCCTTTTCCTTTTTAGGTGGGCTTCCAAACTTCTTCTTGGGCTAACAACCATTATTAGGCCCAACACCTTTAATGTTAGATCATCATGACAATAAGGTGTTAGTGTGTGACCCATTAGGTCCAACATAGCCACTGACATAAATGGGCTCGGGCCCAACAAGCCCACAACCCATTTAATGACAACACAGAGCACTAGCAATGCTTTGTTGCCCCAGAACTAGTTAGATTAATGACTTGATCATCCTATTATACATATTTGGTTGCCGTATGTATTTCCTTTAGTCTCGGTTAAATTCCCATTAAACCTAGGGTAAGGAAATGTATCAACCCTTGCGGTTTAGGGTAAGCTTTATTCGAAATAGGAAATCTTCAATTTACTGACTCTAAAGGCAGATCATCTCATGATCTCTTTTACTATGCATAGATTCCCGAGTCCCAGTAAATGTCATCTTAATTTCTCCGGTTTACAGATAACCTAATCTCTCACAGAGATTTGACGAATTCCTTCAGCTTATCACCCTAGCTCTGTGCTCTTTCAAGAAAAGCCCAACAGTGTACCTATGAGTCTCCATGTTTCAGGCAGACGAGGTATACAATAAAAGCATGCCTTCTAGAACACAGTCTAGGTAATAACTTATGGTCTAAGGAATGACATACCCAAATATAAAGAGACTACTCTAATAATACTATCTATGAGATTTCCTCATAGAGTCTCTTTGTGGGTCTGTTCAGTGCGAGCTATACCCTTATAGGTCCACCCACGACTTTAGCTAAGACATCTCCATATCTGTAGCACATAAGGTCTTTACCTTGTATCCGAATACAAGTAAATAAGTCGTGCTAGTCTTACCTGAGATCACTGATCGCTATTCTCAGTGTCTCTAGACTAGGAACATAAAATTAAGAATAAACGTGTGGTATCCTTGAATCCTCATGACCGCGATCTCATCACAGATACTCAAGAGATACCTGTTCTATTCCAAGGGGTTTATCCAGTTACTCATATAAAATATTAACAGTAATATTAAGACAAAATATGAAACAGGATAAAGAGTGCTTTTATTTATTTGCGACAATATAAAAGGTCCACATATGTCCTCATCTAATCAAAAGATTGTCTCTAGGACATCCATATACTAACAAACTCCCACTTGGCCTAGAGCCAATATGACCTAAGTCGTATACCTAAAGCCTCATAATGACTATCATGTTTTCTCTGAGAAACAACCTTTGTCAGAGAATCAGCTAGGTTATTATCTGTGGGAACATAATCCATCTTTACATCCTTCCTATCAATGATTACTCTAATCAGGTGATATATACGGAGCACGTGTTTAGATCTTTGATGAGACCTAGGTTCTTTTGACTGCGCAATGGCTCCAGTGCTTTCGCAAAGCAACTGTATGGGCTTATCTACGCTTGGAACAACCCTTTGTTCAGATATGAACTTCTTGATCCACACGGCCTCCTTAGCCGCTTCTGAAGCAGCTATGTATTCAGCTTCTGTCGTTGAATCTGCTTTTGTTTCCTGCTTGGAACTATTCCAAGATACAGCCCCACCATTTAAGGTGAATACGAACCCTGATTGTGACTTACAGTCATCTTTGTCACTTTGAAAGTTGGCATCAGTGAACCCTTTCACTGTAAACTTATCAACCCTACCATAGACCAGAAACACATCCTTAGTTCTTCTTAAGTATTTAAGGATGGTCTTGACTGCTGTCCAGTCACCCTCTCCAGGGTCATACTGGTATCTGCTCGTAATGGCTGGATATGTTTGATCATCCCCAAGGAACACATACTTCAGATTTGAGGGTAGTTCTTTCAGTTCTACCTTAGGTGCTCATTTAGGAATGTCATCAACCTTCTTTTTCAACCCCTCAACTACCGGTTCCTCCTGAAAAAATTCCCCACTAATCTCATCCTTACATTTGTCTTCCTCTAACAAGTCCTCTTCTCCTGTCACTTCTTCCACAACCTCCTGAATGATTACACTAACTAATACAATCCTCCACATCAACAGGATGTTTAATGGCTTCAAACACATCAATTGTAACTGTCTCTTTATTCACCCTTAGCATTAGATTCCTTTGTTCTACATCAATTAGGGATCTAGAAGTTTCTAAGAATGGCCTCCCTAAAAGTAAAGGGCTTTCAATATCTTCTTCTTCCATATCTAGTATCACAAAGTCCACTGGAAAAATGAATTTATCCACCTTAATCAGAACATCTTCTACCACACCTTCCTGTCTCTTGATGGATCTATCTGCAAGATGCAGAATAAGATTTGTGTCCTTCAATGTGTTGATTCCCAAAGCTCTACATACAGTCAATGGCATCAAGTTAATGCTGGCCCCCAAATCACAGAGTGTCTTCCCTACTTCCACATCTCCAATGGCAATAGGGATGCTGAAACTTCCTGGGTCTTTCAACTTTGGAGGGAGCTTCTGTTGGATCAGGGGACTACACTCTTCTGTTAAGGCCACTATCTCACCATCCTTCAATTTCCTCTTCTTAGACAGAAGATCCTTCATGAATTTGACATAGTGAGGCATGTTCTCCAAGGCCTCAGCAAATGGAATGTTAATATGCAACTTCTTAAAAATATCCAGAAACCTTGCAAACGTTGAGGTAAGGCACTTTAGCATATGGAGATGGGTTGATTGGCTGGTCCTGCTTGTCAGCCATCTTTTTCTTCTCTCACTTCATCAACTTCTGGGGTGAAGAATTCTTTTCAACTACTACCTCTTCTTCTTTCTTCTTTTCCTCAACTTCCTCTTCTCTATCATTTTCAACCACAACATCCTCAACAACAACTTCCACCTCACTTTTTTTTCTCCCACTTTCTTCTCATCCACTTTCTTGTTCACCGGTTGAAGCGCAAGCCCACTTATTGGAATAATGGACTTGCAGTGCTCCTTTGGATTCACCATAGTATCACTAGGGAACTTTCCTTGTGGCCTCTCAGCTATCTGTCTAGACAACTGACCAATCTGTGTTTCTAAATTCTGGATGGATGCTTCCTGGTTTCTGAATGTTGTCTTGGTCTCTTGCGTGAAAGCAGAAGTCTCTTCCCTGAAGGAATTTGACCCCTGAATGTAATCTTGAGTAGTCTTTGATAACTGGGCAAAACCTTTCTCCCATGCAGCAGTATCACTTTGTTGTGATGAGTGTGTTGGAGGAGGATGTAGTGGAGGATTCAACTGATGGTTGGAACTGTAACTGAACCCTAGATGTTGATTCTTATTCTTCCATGGTGGAACATAGACATTTCTCCCCTGGTTGTTATGGTTCCTCTGGTTGTTGTGGTCATACCATACTCCATTTACTTCTATTTGTCCAGCAGATCTTCCATAATCACAATCATCAGTAACATGGCTTTTCCCACAAATGGCACACACAGAATCAGTGTCCACAGAAGCACCCTTCTGAGAAGAAAGCTGCTTGGTGAGAGCATCTAGTTATTGTTGTTGTTGTTTCTGCACTTGCTGCATCTGATCATTCTTGGCTAACGAAGCATCATAGCCATCCAATTTAATAATTCCAGTTCTTCTGTCATTCACCGGAGCATTGTCAAACACCTGAGATGCTAGGGACTCAAAGATTTCAAGGGCTTCCTGAGGGGTCTTGGTTGTCAATGAACCACCTGCTGTGGCATTCACCAATGTCCTAGTGTTGGTTGTCAACCCTTGGAGGAATATTGCTGCTTGATTCCACACTTCTATTCCATGTTGTGGACATTTCCTCAAGAGTGTCTTGAACCTCTCCCAGGATTCATAGATAGACTCTGACTCTCTGTTGTGATTTAGCAAGTGCACTAGTCAAACAAGTAATAAAATGATGAGTAAAGATCGCTCCATCGAGGATTTGTGTCAAGCACTAACTAACCAAATGTTACTAAGTTGAATCAACTGAAAAATTCTGAATTGCATTGATTTCTTGTCACCCGAAATTGAAGTTGCATAAAATTAAAGAACAGATAAACAAATAAGATGTGAATATAACTTAACAAGTAGTCAGATGTCAATTTCCCTCAAGCATGAATTTATGGATTAACCAATTTCCATTATGAATTATCTACTATGTGATGTTGATCAACTTTTTTCTTATCATCTCAAGATGTAATGTCTTAGTACCCTGATAGATACATTAATCAGAAACCCCCATGTCTTGGTGATTCTTTTCTTAATACATGCATTAATCACTAAAGTCTTAAGACCACATCAGAATCCTAGCATCAATGTCTTGACTACTAGAACACTAATGATGAAGTTGTCAAAAATAGAGAAACAATGTAAACATGTCTGTTCTACACTATTTATCAACATGAAGAATTAATCAAGACAACTTCATACAATCACATAATAGATAAACAAAACATCTAATTAACCATTCATAAATTCAAACTTGAGTTCCATTGAATCAGACTACAAAGGACTCTACTCAGACATAATTGAAATACAAACAAAGGAAGAAGAAAGATCAAACTCCATTGTCATGATAGTAAGTCTTCAATCTTCAAGTGCAATTACATATGAAACACTAACTAATACAACACTACTCCTAAGAATTTGGAAAGTAAGAGAAAGAAGTCAAATCAGAGGATCTGATATATGAGAGAGAGATGTGATGGATCCCCTCAGAAATGTGAAGGCCCTTGCCTTTTATAGTGTTACAAATTACAACTGAAAACTAACATGGGCGCTGAAACGTTCTAGATGGGCGTTTTAGCGTCCATGTTTGACGGATGTCCAACTGCTTTCAACTAACTTGGGCGCTAAAATGTGAGTTGTTGAACGTTTTAGCATCCATGTCTGGTGAATGCTCAACTGCTTCCAACTAACTCCAACGCTAAAACACTTGGCTTGGACGTTTTAGCGTTTGAGACCAGAGTCTTTTTATAGCAGCAGGGCGCTAAACCGTTTGGTCAGGGAGTTTTAGCGCCCAAGACCAGCAACTTTCGTCCTTAGTTTGCAGCAGCGCGCTAAAACGTTCTGTGTTGGACGTTTTAGCGCTCGACACCAGCAACTTTTGCCTTCAAATTGGAGCAGTGCGCTAAAACGGTCTGTGTGGACGTTTTAGCGCTCAACACTTGAGCATTCTCCCTTTCTCCAGAATCTTCTTTTTCTCTCTGCTGCTCCTTGAGCTTCATTTCCCTACAAGACAGTGTAGATTTTCAACAAAGCTTTCAGAACTTACACTTGAGGGATTTCCAGGACATTAACCTCTTTTTCGTCCAATTAATCACACAAATTAATACAAATTCATGCTGAAAAACCTGATGAACTAGGGGTTTATCACAATTCCCAGATTTGGACATTGTTGTCCTCAGTAATGAACTTGCAACAGAAAAAGATTCAAGATTCTTTACAGATGAAACTCATGAGGATGGACTTTAATTAACAAAAGATCACATTGATACAACTTACAACTATGCAATCTCTTATTCCTTATGACTTGCCCAACATCATATGTGGCTTTTCAACAGATGAGTAAAGATGATATATAGAGGCTTTCCAAACAACAACACCCCCTCACTAGGATCTTCTCAAAAAATTTGAGAATTTTAACACTCTTGCACACTAGTGTTTAAGGATGTACTTAGTACTCATTCTTCACTACACTCAAACTGCCATAAGCTTGCCCATCTTCTCACTATTCATAGTAACAATGATCCATAAGGTAGATCAAAAAGGTTTTGGTATGATTAACAATGAGGCTTGGTGTGTGGCTTGACTAGAGGTAAGGATTTCTGTGAAAGGGGAAGTTCAGATCAAATGAATCAGATTCAGATAAGAGGGAATTCGCAGTAATGAATCAATTTCTTCCTAATTCCCTCAACTTTCTTCCTTTTCATTCCTTATTCTTTTCTTTGAACATTTCTTCCTCCTTTTCTTTCTGACACTTTGTGTCTTTAACAAAAAATGTTCTTTTTCTTTCTTTTTCTTTCAGACACTTTGTGTCTTTAATACTTCCCTCTGTCTCTTCCAAACACTTTGTGTTTCACAAACTTTTCTTTCTTTTCCTTCTTTCTTTCTCATGTTTCCAACACCTTGCATTCACTTATTGCAAAAACACTTTCCTCCCCACAGAACACTCCATCCCTTATCACTTATCTGAAACTTTTAATCTTAAGGATTGGAATAAATGTGGTTCTTGGCTTGATAGACAAAAGGCTAGGCTCAAGTGTTTCATGCAATGAGAACTTAAAGGTTGGCCATTTGACTTTCTGGTTCAAGAAGGAAATGCCTCTACCCTACACATCATCAACCATTTCAAGCAAGAAACAAGGCAAGTTCTAGAGTTACTCATGCAATGAAGTGCTCTCTGAACAAAATTTTTTCTGTATAGGCTCAATTTCCTCACAGTTCAGAGTGCATGCTTGACTTTCTCTTTATGCATCAAAACTAATCTCTCTACTCTTACACATTGAATGAGTCATGGAATCATTTCTTTTCTCAACATGCAAGGCATAAGATTGTATCCTTAATTTGATCAATCATCTAAAATTCTGATCATTCAAATCCTCATGGAATTTCATATAAAAAAAATTGAAATCCAATTTCAGAAATAAAATAACATCTAAACTACACTAAAAATTTATTCACAAAGAAAAACTAAAGAAAAGAGATTGAGATGTTTCCATGTTTTGGCTCATCCACTCGTGTGACATCTCCATGAAGTTCGCATGCCATTCAATCACACCCCAATTCCCAGATTTAAACGTTGTTGTCCCTAGCAACTAATTTAAATCTAAACAGCAGTGGATCACTGAAACACAATCATATATCATTCAATAGCATCAATACTATCGCAATGTGTATCAATCAAAACAGTGAATCTCAATGTTCTTAACCAATGTACAAAATAAAACCAATAACAAAATGTAGCTAAAGTAAACCACAATAAAATTATATATCAAAAAATGTAAAAAACATCAGGAGACTAGTCAGTCTCTGACTCCTCCTCATCAGTGAAGAGAAGATCTGATCCTGGATCAGTAGCAGGCAATGGGTTGTACTCATCATCCGCGGCCTGGTCTTCATCCATAGCGGAAGCATCACCAGCAATCAGATCATCAGCAGCAGTAGCATCAGTAGCAGTGGCATCAACAGCAGTCTGGGCAGAAGCAGCAGCATCAGCAGGCTCTCCCTCATCAGCATGATCATCATAATGGGTGCGGACAACTGCCTCAAAGGCATCCTCCTCCTCTGAATGAGGGTAAACAAGTGGCTGGAACGCAGCTATCTCTAAACCCTGGGCCTCACAGAGATCTGTCAGCATCTTAATCATGTGAGTCTGAAATGAGTGCTGACTCGTCTGCATAAACCTTAGACGGCAGCGTAAATTGTAACGCCCGGCAACTTGCAAGGATCAACGACTGTCCCCACACACTAACACGAGACTTTTCAGCGTGCTTTGTCCTCACTTGCACACTTCCCGGGAAAACTTCCCAGGAGGTCACCCATCCCAGAATTGCTCCAAGTCAAGCACGCTTAACTGTGGAGTTCTTCCGATCCGGGCTACCGAAAAGCAGATGCATCTTGTTAGTATAGGTAGTACCAATTAATTCTTATAAGTCATTTCTAACTGTACCGTCCCATACCAGCACAGTCTCTGGAATCCCTCTTTCGAGTGTTGATTCGATTCATTCATGAACCCCCAAGCTGCAAGATTTGGCATGAGCCGCTCATTGTCCGTGCCCTTTCGCACCGGCGATCACTCCCTGCCCTTGCCAGCTCTTGGGATGTTACATGCCCACCAGCTTCCGCCTGGTTCGTCCTCGAACCACACCGTACTGGAAGAGAGGCCCTGCTCTGATACCACTTGTAACGCCCGGCAACTTGCAAGGATCAACGACTGTCCCCACACACTAACACGAGACTTTTCAGCGTGCTTTGTCCTCACTTGCACACTTCCCGGGAAAACTTCCCAGGAGGTCACCCATCCCAGAATTGCTCCAAGTCAAGCACGCTTAACTGTGGAGTTCTTCCGATCCGGGCTACCGAAAAGCAGATGCATCTTGTTAGTATAGGTAGTACCAATTAATTCTTATAAGTCATTCCTAACTGTACCGTCCCATACCAGCACAGTCTCTGGAATCCCTCTCTTTCGAGTGTTGATTCGATTCATTCATGAACCCCCAAGCTGCAAGATTTGGCATGAGCCGCTCATTGTCCGTGCCCTTTCGCACCGGCGATCACTCCCTGCCCTTGCCAGCTGTTGGGATGTTACATAAATGCCCCAAACGAATGTCATTGTTGATCAGCCATTGCTCCCCTGATCTTATCCTTTGTTCAATCTCAGAATCCTCCTCAGCCATGGGTTTCCTGCCAGGTGTCAGCCCTGTGGGTCCTTCTCCCCCAATCTTCAATTGTCCCCTGATCAACTTAGCATCAATGGTAGGGTGCAATTTGACTGGCACCCCATTATCAGTAACATCCACACCAGCTTTTTGGCACAGAAGCTGGATCAGAGAACAGTGACCAAAAGCATGTGAACTGCTATCATAGTGGGCCATATCATATATGCTGTCTTGAGAAAGGATGGGAAGCTCCACTTTCCCTTTAGTCATAATAGTGTGAATCAAGACAGCTCTCATCAGAATTACCTCCGCTTGGTTGGAGGAGGGCATAATATTTAAGACTACAAAATGGAACCAGACTCTAGCTTCCCCATTCAGCTGCCTCAACCAAAGAAATTTAGGATTCACCTTATCCTTGGTCGTCTCCCATTTGGTCCAACTCTCAAACACAGGGTCCTGTCTCTTGGGTGGAATGTCAATTTTCTGCCAATTTCTCTTGAACTGGTAGCATTGGTTGTGAAGGTAATCACAATGCCGGATCTTCAGAAGCTTTTGAATAGTGTGGGCATCATATTTGACTCTCTTGCCTCTCACCCAACTAACAAAAGTCCTCTTACTACCCTCATCACCATTGTAGGCATTGGCATAGAATTCCCGTGCTATGGCCGGGATGCTGTCGACTAGGATATCACCAAAGGTCACCCATTCCCTAGTTTGCAGCTACGACTGGAACTCTGGGTACTCATCCTTGTCCAGGACAAACTTCCTTTCCCGGACAAATGGCCTGGAAGAGGTCTTGGCAGTGTAATGGGCCTCATGCTCCGCACTATTCCAGAAATGGGCATCATATGTAGGTGGAGGTGGTGTAGGCTCAGATGCCTGAGACACCCTAGACCTCTTCTTTCCGGTCTTCTTAGGTGGAGGTGTAGACATGATCCTGAAAAATCAAAAGAGATAAGTTAGTATAGCATGGAAAAGTAGGGGATCCAATTCCCAGATTTAGAATTGAAGTAGTGATGGAATTGGATCCAAAATCATGTGAGTAAACACCTCCACAATGCTAAACTCAGCAATCAAAAGCATGTATGCAGCAGGGCCTGGGCGCTAAAACGGTCACACTGAACGTTTTAGCGTCCTGGCCTTATGCATGTTTTAAACTGGCCAAGCGCTAAAACGTTGGGTGACCAGCGTTTTAGCGTCCTGGCTTTTCTAGGTCAGGCATTATGTCGAACACCTTGTGTGTGTGTGTGCATATGGCAGATTGTGTAAACCGATTGGGGATACCCCTCATCCAAAAAAAAATGGAAAACAGCATCGTCACACATGCATGAACATATATTTACAAAGATAATCATTAAATTACCAACATAGTTCATGAATCAAGTATGGAAACTCCAAATAATATGAAAGAAAAAACAAAAATAATACAAATGATGGAGAGGAAGAAGATATTGATGCATACCTAGATGGAATATGAGGAAATCTGAGGAAATGTGATGAAGAAAGA